TTTCCAACCTGGTTGATTCTATGATTCATCTCTGCTATATAATTCTTAGTAATAGTTTTATGTTTCTGAAGTTCTGCATCTTGAGAAAATAATTTATTGTCTCGTGTTGTGTCTGTAAAATGATGTTTTGGGCTTGTTTACCTAGAGAAACTGGTATATTATAAGAGGCATCATATCTTATTAGACAACAGTGAATTCACAAGAGAGCGTTCATGAGATGCTGGGAATGGAAACAGACTGGATGTATTTTTGAGCAGGAATCTAGAAATAAAGGTGTGGTATTTATTTGTGTTAGCATTTCTTTTTTGTGTGTGGTTGCCACTAATGGAATGATTGTAATAAAACATCAGCTGACCTCTTCCAGCTGCTCTTTTATTAGACTGTAAAACCCCCTGAGAGTAGCTAAGTTGCAACTCTCCCAAGAACATGACAAAACTCAAAGCCTTTAAAATGCTATAAGACTTAGGAAAAAAATGTCTTTCCAAAGCTGCCTTCAGTGTGTCTAAATATCTCCTTAATAAACATGACAAACAGTTCTCTGAAAAAATAAATAACCAAACTTTTGCACGATATAATAGTATTATAAGGCAGTTAAGGAAGTTGTGTTAATCAGATTCTTTGAGTAGCTAACCATGTCTAACTGTAATTTTACACGGAGCGAAGGTGCCTCTTGCTGTGCAGTTTACTGATTTATTAACGGGAGAGTTGGTCGGCTGCTGGCTGACCTGATGATCTCACAAGGGTCTGCAGCTATTTCCTGTGTTAATCCTAAACCAGTGTGCTCAGAGCAGAGTGGAAAGATGGCAGTACGTTGCTTTTTCCAGTCAGGTGCTCCAAAGGCACCTGGAAGAAGTGGTGGTTGAGTTGCTTTGGGCCCAGTTTGTCTGGGCCCAAGCAGAAAAGTCTTTTGATACTGAAAAAACTGTGTGGACAGATGTTCTTTTGCAGTTCCAGCTGTGCTGCTAGCCCAAACCCTTGATCAGTTCTCTTGACTACAAGTGTGACTGTAATAAATTTCTAACATATTTCTGAGGAGAACCAAAGTAACTAAAATATGCTGAGTCGTTTGGTCTTCGCTAACTTTGACTGCCTTAGGATAGGGAGCTCTAACAAGAGCAGCTGCTGTGAGTAACTGGCAGGCAACAACACAGCTGTATGCAAAGTACCTCCGTCCACATCCTTACTGTCTCTGTGGCTGCAATTAAAGATCTACCGATATGGTCTTGTCTGGTTCCCGAGTAATGCCAGGTTGCCCACATCTGCAATCAGCACCAACCTTTAAGTTGTCGTCAGAGCTGAGCTGCATTTGCTGCTTTTGCTGTGCTGGTACAGGACAGAGCAAAAGCAAGTGAGGGCTTGGGTTATCCCAGTGAGCTGAGGCTTGTGATGCTCATAACAAGACCACACTGTCCAGCCAGCTTGGTTTGTCCCCTCATCTGCTGTTGGCCATGCTTAGAATCTGTGTTTGTGATTTCTGTCCAGTAATTGCTGAACACAGACAAGGCCTAGGGGAGGACCCTGTTTTTACTTGCTGAAACAGCTGAAGATACGGTTATTCATGCATGGTTGTTTGTACTACAAGGTTAAGAGCAGTCCTTATGGGTCTAGAGGCAGCTGTAGGGTGATGTCAGTCATAGATGATGTAATTGACATTTTCACATATGTCAGTAAGTAGAGATTAAACAGCCATAAAACTAAATTACCCATTAAACACTGTGATCCATACCATGGTTCACAGGACACAATTACAATGTTTGTACACTTAGGGATTACCTGAATTCCAAACTCTTATACTGTAGCTGTCTTATGAATTGGGTTTGATTTATGGTAAGCCAGTGAGTGAGAATTAAATTAAAATGTTTTCTGTGTAATTTGCTTTGACCTCAGATTTTGTGATAGTGGTTGAATTAGGTAAACAGGGGATTAGGTTTGTTTAGAGTTCTGAATCTCTTTGCCTTCAAGAAATGGCATCTAGTCTGTAATGCAGTTCAGCAGGACTCGAGAGGGCATAATTTCATCCATACCTGTGATGTAAGTGCAGGGTGAATGGTTTTAGTGTAGTTTGATGGTCAGTAACAGGCTGGGACTAAGCTTATCATGGGACTAAGCATAATATTAAGCTCTCTTGCAGTCACCTTGTGTGTCTAACTGTGTCTCTATATTATATCCAGGGAGTTTGTATTTACATGTTTGAGTGCCTTTCCTTCAGCTGAAGAACCCACTAGTTATGCTTCAATACAACATTAAAAAAAAAATCTGTTTTTCACAAAACATTAATTAAATAGCTGAATACTTGTTACTTTTCCTCATTAGTTAGGAAGGAAATTGGTACTCATTTAGCTTGCATAAGATAGAAAGCAGCTTTACTGAGGGAAGAGTGTTGTGCCCAAGCCAGTGAGGGCTGACTTCTTCAATGGCCTTTAGACACAGATGCATGACAGGATTTTCTTCCAAGCATTTAGGCATTTTGGATTTAAGTATGAGTTTGATGCTTAAAGGTGATTCTGAATATTCTTGTTAGTGCCTAAGAGACCTTTGAAATACCAGTCTTTAACCATCACTTTGTAATTTGCTATCTGAAAGTCATTTTCATTGAAATATGGCACTTCTTGTCAAAAATAGTACAAAAGCTTCAAAGATGTGGACTGACTTGCATCTGGTTCTCACTGTAAGGAATAAGTGTCTTTAAATTGGCTAATGGAATTCACAGTTGATGTACAGCAACTGAAAAGAACAAAACATGAAAGGAATCATCTAGAATTGCTAGTGCAAACAACAGCAGAGTGATTAAAAGTGTTTAAAAAAGATTTCTGTCAGATATAATGGTCCTTAAAAAGAGTGGGCAAATTTTTCCCTCCCAGTTTTTCATTCAGGGTATCTGTGGAAAATTAGAAGGTGCATCTCCATATTTCTTAGATGGAATCTTGCTTTGGTGTCTCTTAAATCCCAGATAAGAGTATGAACATCAATGTGAAGATGATGGTATTAGCCATGGTCAACACGGTATTTTTTCATACTTCTGGAATATTATTTTAGTGTATAATATCATGTAAATAAGATAATCTTAGAATTTTTTTTTTTGCATCTCTAAATAATAAAAGCACTGTGTGTCAGTTTGCCTGTGGCAGTGAAGTACCTGTCTTCTTGGCCCAATGCTCATATCTTTCTTGCTATCCCTTTCGTGGTAGCACTGAGGTGATTGGTCAGTCTGGGTTTTGCTGCTGGTCCAGCCCTTCCTCTTGTCCACTGGTTCTGATGTGCTTTCACTGGATCCAGCAGCATCTTCTGTGACAGGGAAGAGTGTCACAGAGTTCTGCACTTGGTTGTTGTGGAATAGGCAGCTATGGCACTTGAATGTGTTAATCATGGGGCATTTTTAATCATTCTCTGAAAAGACTGATCTAATACTAGTTGTGTAGCTAAGACCTAAATGTATTACACCATGGGAAAATTAAATGTAAGACCCATCAATTTAATTCTAATGACCTTTTGAAGTACTTGTGTTGTAAACACCACAGCAGGTGGTGTGCACAGTGCTTTGAAGACATGGGATTTTAAGTACTTTAGAAGAAGATGGCTTTATTCCATTCCTCTTGACCAAGGTGTTCAAGATAAGGTGTTCTGGATAGTTTGTCTAACTGTTTGTGGTATTCTTGTCTCAAGATTTCATTGAATATGTGTAAATGTCTAGGCATTAGCTAAAGATAAAGGTCTTACTTCGAAACTGTGTTGAAGTTACTCAGAAAAGGCTTTAAGCAACAACAACAGCAGAAAAATGAGTAATGTGGTGCCTTTATCTGTAATCGTGCAGTTAGGCACATGTATCATGGTACCGCCAAAAAAAATACTGCTTTGCTTTAGCTTTACATTTATTACAGTAGCACTAGCTGATGTACCATGGCTTTTTGCAAAACTGCTATAGCCTTCCTGTTTTCAGTGAATCTGCTACATATAATTTAATTGTCAGTTATCTAAGAATTTGTATGAAGACTCCTACAGGTAAACAGCAGCATTCCCACTGGCAGTCAAGGGATCTGCTAAGGGATCTGTCAGATCAGATACATTTGGTAAGTTCTGAGGAGTTGTGATCTTGTTAGATGCTCTTGCCTGGTGTAGAGTTAACATAATCTCAAACTCTTAAAATAATGCATTATTACTGTGGAGAAAAATATATAATAGTATGTATCTGTATTTGTATAATATGTATATTTGTGTAAAAACATCTAAAATCTTGAGTATTTATTTTAATAAACTACAAAGGTGAAACTGGTCAGAGATCTTGAAGGAGTTACCTGACCTTTACTCTCAAAAACTACAGGGAGTATGTCTTAATTTCTGTGGATAGAGTCTCATTGTCTTGCAGTCTCTTTCTCAAACCTAGCAGCATTGTTCAAGTGGAATTTGAAGGTTTTTGTATGTTTATCCAGAATTGCCAAACATCTGTAGTCTGCTCTGAGGAGCAGTTTCAGCTGCACTGCTGGCTATTTGGCAATCTCAAGCGTGCTTGCTGTGCGTATCCAGTCAGACTCCACAGCGCATGCCTGGAAATTCCGCATTTCCAGTAAATGTTGGATGGAGCCGTGTGTGCATGGTATGCTCTAACAGCCTGAAGTGCTGGACTCACTGAACCCATAGTACTTTGTGCATAAACACAAATTCTGGATAGGACTGCTGCAGCTCTGCCAAAAATCCCAGATCTTTCTTTGAACAAAGTTTTCCAAGGCCTTCAGTTTTTCCAAAGACTTAACTTCTACATCTGTGCCTTGGCCATGAAAGAATAGTCTGAAATTTATTATTTTCCCCCCAAACATACAAAGCATTCATCTGCCAAACTCTCTCATAAGGTTTTCAAATGCCAAGTGTTTGTGAACAGTCTTTCCTAGATATGTGTATGTTTATATATATGTTATATATATGTGTATACCCACTGGGATATAAAATAAACTATCGTAGTAAATGTCCTATTTTAATTGTCTAACTTGTTTGTTTGTTTTCAACAGGCAGAAATACTCAGTGTGCTCAGTCACAAAAACATCATTCAGTTCTACGGAGCTGTCATTGAACCTCCAAACTATGGCATAGTTACAGGTAAGGATTTTTGTCTGACCCTTTTCTTGATTCTGCAAAACTCCAATGTTACAAAGTATTTGCTTTACCCTGTTTCAGTGTTTTGCTATTTGTTCTGCCCTTGTTTGAATGTTAGAATGCTTGGCACCATCTGCCTCAATGTAAATGGGAGTGCTGGAGGTGGGAACCAGGCTGGAGCATGGCTGGAGGCAGTGTGGAGGCAGGTGGAGCCTAGGGGATTGCACAAACTCAGCACTCATTTAAACAGTAGCTTTCACTGTGTTCTCTTACCCTTTTCTGAGAATTGCTTTTCCATTTCAACTGGCATATTGCAGAAGTAGAGGTTTTCATGATATGAAGTTCTGGCAGGTTCTGTGAAAAGGGAAGGCTGAGAGTCTGCTCAGAGCAAAGCTACACCATGAATTCTGCCTGTATTGAAAATAGGAGAATTTAGAGTGGGAAGTTCCTAGCCCTGGGAAGAGCTTGAAATAAAGTCAAGGGTTTATAAGACATCATAAGACAACTCCCTTTATTCATTGGAAACTAGGTTTTATTCATTCTGACATTCCTAGAATTATGCAGAGATTGGTTTTTATGGTTTTGTTGGGGTTTTTTGGTGGTGTTTTCTTTTTTCTATCACCACTTTAAGCTTCCTACCCATACCTGGGAATTGGTCCAGATAGAAAATTTTCTCCCTTTTCTGTGTGGGAAAAACTATGTAATATAGTTGTAGAAAGTAAACACAAAGCAAAGCAATTTCCCATCTGCTGAAATAAATGTTCAGAGAGGTAAAACCCACAAAGTGTGAATTAAGAGGCATGTTTTGTCACGTCACTTCAAATACTTCAAAGTTTGATGCAAAGAGTAGTCTTTGTGTGTGGTAAAGTCTTAATACCAGTTTGAATCACTGCTGTTCAGGTTTTTATTGGTTCTCAGATGGTGGTCAGAACTTGTGAAAATTCAGTTATTTCTACCTGCCTCTTAGACATCTGGTTATCACAGCAGTGATAACTGGTGATAGCTGCTCTGGTGGGAGCGCATCAGGGCGTCAGCACTGTTCAGAGCATGGGAGGCTTTGCTCACCAGAGGAGTATAAGCCTAGTGGAGGTCTGGTGTGGCAGCCAGCACTCCAGAGATGTAGGGGGTGACCACAGTCTACACTGCTCAGAGAATGTACTGGTGATGTCATGTAGACAGGAACTTGAATTCTTTCTGGAAGCAATAAAATTAATACAAAACTAATAAATCAAGTAATGAAATTTTACTACCCTTCTTAATATAACTGTAATAAGTGTAAACCAGCAAGCAGAGTAAAAAAGCAGAGTTGTAATCAATGACCTGGGATGATGTCTGGATCAGAAGGCCTCAGTCTGATCTTGCAAAAGGTCAGTGTTTGGAGACATTTGACCTGCTTACCAGTCGCAGGAGAGACAGACAGACAGCAGCTAAAGTAATTCATAATGTTATTGAGAACAGGGACTCCAACCACCTGTGAGAAAGAGACTATAGTGTATAGTTCAACCACTTTGTTCCTTGGGGAGCTCTGATTACACCCTGGCTAAAGAAAAAAGCTTTTTTTTTTTTTTTTTTAGCAAACTGTGCTCCCTGCAACTTCTAATGAGACCAGAGTCCTGTGGGTTGGAAGGGAAGCAAGGCTCCATTTCCCCACACCATTTTCAAATGAGAGAATGGCTTCTGAGAAAAGAAATGTTAATTGTACTTGAAATACATTTTAGAGGGGTTTTTACTTCATGATCTTCCGGATGGCCATCAGTGTTGCAGACTTAATCCTGTGTTTAGTCAGAGATCCATTTCTTGTGAGGGAAAATCCCAAACAAAAAGAAATGCAGAGAAACTAATGTTTCTTCAGTGATGGAGATGAAAGCATTCAGCCAAGCATTGGCATGTACTGAGTATTAGCTGCACATAACATCTTATGTGGGATTGTCGAGGAGTTCTCTGAGAAAGGTTACATCTGCAGTTAAAACACATTTTCCTGCTGGGATGTATGTCAGCGCTACAGCAGATCATCCCGCCTGGTGAGCTGCTAACATGGATCACATCATTCTAGATGTCACTGGCTGTCTGTCAGCAGCAGTCTCAATGTCTAGCTTTCAAGTGTGGCTTTTGACCACAGCTCCCTCCTCCCAAAAGGCTCTCAGAGCTTGTGCCCCCATTGCACAGAACCATATGGTGTATCCCACAGCCCATCACAGGGTGGGTCCAGTCAGGCACTCAGACTGTTTCCTTCTAAAGCAAATATTTCTTTTCCGTTATGGACAGAACATTGTACTTGCGATATGATATCCAAATCCATAAGCTCCTAGTAAAAACCTGAGGCACAATAAATACACAGAATAAATACCAACAGTGGAGCTTTGTTGATAAAAGCTTGCTTGCCTCTGTTCACACAGAATGGCAAAGGGCCTGGGGAGCTGAGTTGTCCCTGACCCTGGTGGATCAAATTATGCATTGTAAAGGCATGCAAAGCATGCAGCCAACCTATTCCTGAAGAATCCATTTATAAGACGGATGATGACATCGTGGGTAAAAAAAGCTTCTGTTTTAATTGTGGAAATGTGCGGGTCAGCAGCTTACTCTTCTGTCGGTGACATCAGAAGCAACACGTCTGTCCTTTCAGTGGGAGGTTCTGCTTGCCACTTAAGTGTTTACTTTCAAGGGACTTGCTATTTTCTCCCTCTTTCATTTAGCACTGGAATCTTTTCATCTGGCCTACCATGTTCTAGGCTGCAGATTCAGTCTTGTCTCCTTCCTTGTCTTCCTTCCCCATGCAACAGTCTCCCAGTGGTTTTGATTTCCTTGATAAGGAACAGTATAAATTTTTTTAATGCATTTAGCCTATCATGTTTCAATCATTGATTATTATTATTAACAAAATTCAGATGCATTCAGTATCGTCTTAGTGGCAATGATTTTGTGGCTGCTTTGAAATGATGTGAAGATTCCCTGAGTCTTGTGAGTAGGTTCTAAGTTCTGCCTGAGAAGCACACTGAATAGTCTTGAAAGAGGGGGCTAAAAGGCTTAAGTTGCTCCTTGCATCCCACTGATCTCTGTGCTACTTGGGCTACATGTGGTGGCATGTGCCTGCTCTGTCATGGCAAACAGATAAAAGAAAATGTATCAGCTGCTTCATCTCATCAACTTCCTTTTTTGGTAAAACGTGAATGAATTCTAAATAAGTATAAAACTTATTAAATAAATACTAAGCAGAAGAGCTACAGCCTTTAGACTGCTGTACATGACCTACAGCACAAGGAAATCTGTTCTGCATATCTCAGGGTTAGGCTTCTAGTTTCATCCTTCCGTTTTTCATGAACAAATTATTTGATTTGCTACTCTGTTCCTCCATGGGGAAATAGGAAAAGAAAATTTTAATTTCCCTTTCTACTTGGAGACCCTTCCTTCCTAACAGAATAATATATATTTAACATGTAGGTTTACTTTAAAAAAAAAGATGCCCTTTGTTATGGGGCATCACTTACACACAGTACTGCTTACCAGTGGGGAGTATCCTTGATTTTGGAAACAGTAAGATGGATCTGATACCACCAACCTCATATGTTAAATGCTCTTCTGATCAAGAGCGGCAAATTCGCTGTGTAAAAAAGTAAGAATTTTAGGTTATATAAAAGTGGTGCTGTGCAGGTTTCAGTTGTCTCCAGTTTCACACCTAAATGTGTGTAGGTGAAACTAGCATGTTATTCCTGCTTTAAGCCATACAGCTCTGGTAGTCAGACTGGATTCCATCTGCCACACTTGCAAACACCAGTAGACCCCAAAAACCCTTGTTTGTACCCATAGAATCCTACTGTGGCATTTTGTTGGTGTAGTTAAGAGAAATTAAGAAAAAGATTTGCTTATCCTGAACAAGGAACATCCAGAGCCTTTTACTCTGGAATTTGAACTGCTTTGCCTGATCTTTCTTGATGCCAGACCTTTCTAATGCCTTTTCAATTTAATGTCTGTTGTTATATATGATTACACTTTGTTTGTTGTTAGGTTTTTTTCCTTAGCAGTAGATTATGTCTGTGTTGGGGTAGTCAGAACAAACTACCACTCTTCTACTACACTACTAATAGTATTAGCTGCTGAACCCAAATTCTTTGTCATTAAGCCAGAGGTTGACTTCCTTCTGGAACCGGCAGAGTTTCTATTACATCTTTCACGTTAGGTGCTATGTTTTAAAATGTCTTGTTTGTTGCTGTTTTTTAACAGAGTATGCTTCTGCTGGCTCACTGTTTGACTACATTAATAGTAACAAAAGTGAAGAGATGGATATGGATCATATCATGACCTGGGCAACTGACATAGCTAAAGGTAAGTTAGATGAGTGGTATATACTATCCTACACAGCTAGCAAAGTGTACAGCTGGAGATGCTTTCCTTAGGAAGTCAGGAAAGCCTTCGTAGTCTTTCTTATTCAAATTGTAACAAAACCAACCAACCAAACATACATACATAAAAAAAAGCAAAGCCCATTCACTGTGGTTTTTAATATGTTCCTTGTTTATTATGAATCCAAAATACTCTGAAGTGAAAATGGCTTCTATGAGCCAGTTTTACTTCTGGTGTGCCCCTGAGTCCCAAGAGGATAATTTTGCTGATGTAGAGTAATTATGAGGTAAAGTGCATAATTACCCTTACATTTGATTTGAATTGGGGCATTTAAGGAAGCTGAGGGTTTATTCTCAGCAACCATACTGAAACTCTTCACATAATAACATAGAATAAGCTGTTCCATCCTTTGTGTTCTCTATGACTGACCACACAAGAATTAGTGTAAATTAATGAACAAATGGTAAATTCATATCGGGCTTCCTTGTGTAGACACTACCTTAGAGAAAATAACTATATATGACATTAAAAACCATTAGCATATCCATATAGATGCTCTGATAGATGGATGAGCTTTGCTTAATGCTTTTTACTCAAAGTAGATTATGGGAAGCTTTACTACTTCTTCAGCATGTCAGTATGGCATACAGGTATGCCAGTTTGTAACAAGTACAATGAGTGGGAATCAGGAAACATGACTGCAGATTCATGATGGCCCTGCTCAGCTGTCTAACTAGATTGTTCCCTTGTTTTTTGTAGGAATGCACTATTTACACATGGAAGCTCCAGTGAAAGTTATCCACAGGGACCTGAAGTCCAGGAATGGTAAAGTAGCAAGCTTTTGAGTAATACATATTCAATGTGCAGTCTGTACTTAGCAGTTGATGGCTGTTTATGAAATTTGCAGAACATTGACTTTAAAATGAAACTTCCACTACCAGTCGTGGGATAGGAGGGACACAAATTTTCATAATGCACACAGGGAGATAATAGTCAAGAATAAGTCTAGGTCTCACCTCAGTTTTCTCCTTTTATTAATGAGTCTTCCAGAGAGCTTCTTGTTAAGCCTAACTACACTGGGGAGAGCAAAGATTATCTGTGTTGCTATCTTTGAACTCAGTAAGGCCTGCAAGGTTTTGCATTTGTTCGAAGGCTTGCAGGGATTCAATAGATGTTCTCTAAAGCTTCTCAAAGAAACCAGGACAGTTGTGCACGTGTGCACATTCAAGTGCTGGCTCACCATAAGATCATTTGTCTTGCTAAAAAACAAAGTATTTTGCTGTGAAAACATATTATGTTTATTTTTAGCATTCTTCTAACCTTTTGTTTTTTCATTTTCAGTTGTTATAGCTGCTGATGGTGTGTTAAAGGTATGAACTCTTTAATTATTTGTAGAGAGATGCTGCTTGAGTCAATGTTTTGATGTTTAATGAATGAGGTTGATACTCTATTACCTGTTTAATTTTTTATTTATTCTTACCAGATCTGTGATTTTGGTGCTTCAAGGTTCCACTCCCATACGACACACATGTCATTAGTGGGCACTTTTCCATGGATGGCCCCAGAAGTTATTCAGAGTCTTCCAGTGTCTGAAACATGTGACACATATTCGTATGGAGTGGTGAGTGCCTCTCATTTTACTATGAGTAGTAGCAGTTGTCCAGCGTGACAGAATTCACATGATGCAAGAACAGCAATTCTAAATAAGAACAACAAAAAACCCCAGACTTTCTTTTAAGACTGATCCATAATTTTCAATTACATGCTTGAAAATGATAGGAAGAATAGTGTCTTGCATGTTTAGTAAGATCTGACTAGATTAGCAGCATGCCAGTGTAGGGCAACCACAGTTGTTCAGCATATGTTCAAAGGCTTTCAGGAACCATTGAACAACCTGAGTCATGAATCTCTACTTGTGTTTTTTTGTGGAACTGAAGGTTGTCTTGTAATAGGGGTATAACAGGATGAAATGATTAGCATTCTACTTTCCCTAAAATGGAGTATCACTGATATATAATAAAAAGTAAGCCACTGCTCTATTCTTAATTGTTTAAAAGACCCTGCTATCATTACCTGTGAGAACAGAGACTCTACCCATCGGAAAATATAGAAAAGCCCAGCATTACTTTGTGGGTTTTCCGAAGGGTGAGCAATCAGTTGTAGTTCACCACAATGTCAGATTTTCAGATTCAGTAATGTGAATTACTTCGCTCTGTCCACAGTTAAGCTCTTAATTTGGTTTTGCTGTGCAATACAAAATAGGCTAGAAATAGCCTTAGTGATCAGATAAATTATGTGGCCATAGCCTTTCTCTGACAGAGGACAGTGAAGAGTACTTCGAGGGGTAAAGGAAAGGACTGTAGTTTCCATGCATATCTGTGTATTAATCATATTTGTGTTTGGATTCAACAGTGGGTGGCAGAATGGGGAATTCTTCAGTACTCGTCAAGTATTGCCTCTTTTTGAGGGATGGAAGTAGATAGATGTGAGGGAGGCACTGTGTTTTTAGGCTTGCACCTAATGGCTAACGTACCTAAGCTGATGTGCCAATGGAGGATGACTTAAACCTTTTGCCAAACAGTTGTTTATAGTGAGAAAAAAAATATATGAGAGATGATGTGGCATCACTTAACAATTAAAGGTTGAAGTTTTGCAAGGAGGGAGAAAAAGACTATATTTTCAGATTCAAAATCCTTGCTTGCTTAACTGAACTAGGTCACAAACAGTGAGAGAACATAAGCTAACAAATGTAAATGTTAATGTAAACTGTTACTGGAAGCAATCACATATTGTCCACTGAAGGGAAACATTCCAGTTTCAAAACAGAACAAAAACGTTAGAGGAAAAATTCCAAACATAGTCTTATAGCTCAAACTGCTCCTGTAGTTTGAATTGACTATAAGTAATGTTCTCTATGTGGGAGAAGGTAAGAAATTATTTAGTATCTTATCATGTGGAGTATTAACAGTGCTTTGGGAACAGTATGTCATGCATAGTTTGTTTTTCCTTGTCCAGAAAGTAAGGTTCCTTTGACAGTTCTGTGCTTAGAGGTAAAACTCAACTACCCTCCTTATGAAAACAGTTCAGTGTTACCAGAATATTTTAATGTTGTTATGGATGTGTAGTGCTGCTTTAGAGTGTCTAATAATATTTGACCCACATTTTTTAATATATTTTTTTGAGCTAATGTGTTCTACTGGGAGTAGAAGCTTATGAATTCATAAACACTTAGGAGTCAATCTTTTTGTAAGTCTAGTCTTGGAACATCATAATTTTTGGAGGAGATACAGGGCTAGAAATGAAGAACGGCAGTGGCCAGAGTTCTCTGTTGCTGAAATTACTGACCTAGTGGGGTTATACCAGCAAGAGATGGCTTGAATATAACATTGAAGGTTGGAATCTCACTGTAAGTGTTACGACTGTCAGAGAATTAGCTAGGGGACTGAAAACAAAAAAAATCTGAGAAAGGGTATTTTTGTCTCTTCAAATTCTTATCATCTATAAAAACAAAATTTAAAGAATCCCTTTTCAAAGTGTAACACTTGCCAGCAGCTTTTGTGCTAGAGAGACAAATCTGCTTTTCTTCAGTTAAAGTCCTCTTAACAAAGAACAGAATCCTTTCAAATGTAAACTAGTAAGATGCTAGGAATAGATATTCCACTTGCAATATTTGTCATCTTCCCCATGGTTTTCTTTAATTTTTTTTCTGCTATTTTTCTATCTGACACTCTGTTCTTTCTACAAACCAGTCTGTGATTTTAAATATTCTGCTTAAGGTGTGCGAGAGCTTTTTTCCATGAAGTGTCGAAGTCTTTCTGCAACCTTATAGGTCTGAGTTGCTTCTCAACTGAAATGAATTTTCCTCTTTGTGAACAATTGTATACATGTTTATAGTTAAGGTTCAGATTACCTTGTGCTGCTCTTCATGGATGGTTAAACAGGTCCATGTATTCTCTTTGGGATATATAGTAAATAATTTATAATACTACCATGAAATGCTGAAGCTGAATGTTCCAGGAGATTTATTACAACACAAAGACAGATCTTGCACTTTCCTTCAGCCATGCTGAGATTCTCTTTTCTGATCCATTTCCAGACAACAGATACCGAGTGTTAAAAATGATCAACCCTGAAATTGACTCGTGCCATTGTGTGTCGCTCAAAAATTATTCCTCGCGTCTCTGCCAGATAGGAAAGTGTATGTGGAATGACAGTGTCACTCAAAAAGCTGTTTTGAAATCATGAAGACATATGCTCAGAATCTGTTATTCTGGCAGAACTGTTTGTAGTGCACCACAGCGTGTGTTTGTGTATCAGTGTAAATGTGTTTAATCATAGAAAGCTTATACGATGTAGCTGAATTATTTTATCACTTACAAGAACAGATAAGTAAAACCATTAATTGGCTATTGGTGGCATAGAGACTGCCATTAAATGTAGCAGCTGTTCAAACATTGCTGTAGCTATGAGAACATACGTTATTTATAGAGGGAATGTTGGCCAGCTCCAGGGGTTATCCCTTACTCTCTTTGAAAAGAATTATGTGATCTTTAACTGCAGTTGGATCAATGCAGAGAAGAGTGACCTAATTTTCATGCCTAAGGGCAGCACCTCTATGAGTGCAATGCTAATGCTCATGCTGTACTTCCGCTCACTGTGGCTCTTGACCATCGTCTGTGGACAGTTTCCTAACAGGAGAAAACGCTTATTTTTTTCAGTAAAGATGTTCAGAGTGTTTCCTTTTCCTCAAATTACTCATTTGAATGTTCCCCTACCCAAATGGCACTTTGAATCTTTGTTGGCTTTGCACTGGCGTGGGGATGGGGTGGCGGTATTGTGGGGTTGTTTTTTTTCCTTTGGGTTGTTGTCACATAGTTGAGAGGATAAGAACTGAAATGCACAGCTGAGCTGACAGAAGTAAGTGTATGAGCTTTTTCTGAAGACCACGTAATTCTTATTCTCAGCTTCGTGTATAGGATGACCACACATGCTATGACCACTATCTCTCCATTCTGTTCCTCTATGCAAAGATGAGCCCAATGTCTTCAGAGGCCACAAGTTACAAACCCCTACATTAAATGACCTTCCTTTGTTTTTCATCATTGTTTCTAGCTTGGCTGTTTTTTTCTGTGAGCACCTGCTGTCCATCATCACAGAGAGGTGATGTGATTGGGAAAGCAGGTGATCCTCACCATCGGGGTGGGAGGGGATGTGAACCATGTCAGTCTCAGATTTTACACCAGAAATGGAAGATAAATTGATTTCCATGTGAAGTGAGCTGGGGAGCCAGTTCTGAAAATGAACAGAGCATACCTCGCAATAAAGAGGCTGGGGTAAGTCAGGGTAAGGTCCTTGTCTGCTGCTCAGTGACCCTGGGGAGAGGAAGAGGCAAATGGGAATGCAGAAGGTACCCATTTACTGCTTTTTAAAAGACTGGTGATGCAATCATTCACATTAGCTGATGATTCAGGGTAGCTAGTCCAAGAGATGGGATTGAAGCTCCTATAAAACTGAAAATAGAGATATGTCACTGATGGAAGGAAATGCTTTATCTATACCACGGGCCTGAATATTAAAATTGCATCGTTGTTAGAATGTTTTCTAAATCTGTATAAGTAAATACAAGGATTTCTAGCATCCCACTTTTGGATCTTTTATTTTAATTTATTAGTAAAATGAAAACATTAAGAAAACTTCTTCATATTGTGTCAGATCGCTGTTTTTCTCTTCATCTGTGTGCAGTCTTGAAGTGTTTTTAGCTAACACTTGGTTTAGGGAGGCAGTGACCTGTACAGGCAGTGGAAATAAACACTAAAGGTGTCACGATAAAGGAATTCGGTGCAAAATGTTCTGCACAAATGTACATGCATGAATGAGACGAGACAGCTCTTACAATTTAGTCTTCTGAAAGAAAGGTAGCACAGCAGTAGTTTTCCAGCTCAAGGCTCTTGAAGACATTTAATGTGTATTTCATTATGTTCTTTACTTGGAAGATATATTTAGATACTGCTCTATCTTGTGCAAACTTGAGTTTTTCCTCTGTGATTTCATGGTACAGTCATACAGATGAGGTGGTTCTACAAGGTTGCTCAACTACATGTTTGATTTGATCCAGGGGCTTTTGTTTTAAGCTGACTGCTTTGTACACTGCCTTTTTATCTGAAGTACATGGGGCTGCTAAATTTTTTCCTCCTCTCAGAGTTAAATTTCCTTCTCTACCAGCAGAGGTGATCATTGGAGTTACTAGTTGAGGTGCCTTATTTTTCTTCGAAAAGGAGTGAAGTGAGGCAAACAGGATAGTTGAATACATCTATGATAACTTCCCCCATATATTTCTTATTCTCAGGAAAACTGTCCTTATTTTTCCAAGATACCCTTACCTTTACCAGTCAGTCTTCTGACTCAAGCAGAATTATTCAAATAGGTCTATTGTTGGAGTGTACCTTGTTCATTTGATTAAAGGCCCAACTCTGCTTCAATGCTTTTTTTTTTCTTGACCTCTGTCTGCCAATATTGTTGCTTTTTTTTTTCTGATTATCTTCATGGCTGTCCACAATCCATTTGAAATGATGTAGCTGGAATAAACCTGGGTACTAACCCAAATGGGGAGGATATAGAGAGTTGCATAAGGATCTTAATGCATTTAGGCAAATCCTGCATAAAATATTTTGTTGTTGTTGTTCTGCTTGGTATATGAGCAGAAGAAAAAATTTGTAGATATTTGTAACAAGATACATATAGGAAGGTTCAGCTTTAAGAAAAAAAAGGGACATATACAAGTGGAGGTAGAAAGTGCTATTAATTTGGTTGAATTCCAATATGTTTTCCCAATGGCAGAAAACCAAGTTGGATTCATTGACTTGAAGCCTTCTTGGTGATGCCAGGCTCTTTTCTACAGAGTAGCTTAGATTCTCAGGTACTGTTACCAAAGCACTAAGAGCATGTAAAATTAGGAGATCTTTCTATATCTAAGTACAATACGTACATAAAATCTTGAGGAGAACAGAGTAATTTTATATATGCTATATATTGCTTAGTTTAACGTGATCACATACTTGGAGATAAACAATTACAGTTTTGATTGCAAAATTATATTTAATATTTTCATAGGCATATCATAGGAGCAAAATACATTTTGGATAATATTCACTGGTGGCAATCATATAGAAATATTTTTAAATGAAAAATTACTACAAAGCAAAGATATGTCTAGTTGGGGCTGAGAAGGAGAGGAAGAGTTCATTGTCTTCCCAAGTCTCAACTGCCAAATGTGAACTTTGTAGTGTACAAAGAAAGTAAAAAAGCAACCCAGTTTTTCATCTTGGCTTTTCTGTAGAGGAAAAAAGCAGAAACATTCAATTTAATTTAGTGAGAAGATCTTGCACACAAACACTGGTCCAAGTTCCTGCAAATGGAAACTGGTTGCCTGGTAATTGGATACAGAATAGTGCTGTATCAAGGTTTAATAATGTATTTAAAATACAAAGTACAGAAATAAAAATTCTTTTCTTTTTTTCCCTTCCAGGTTCTCTGGGAGATGCTAACAAGGGAGGTCCCCTTTAAAGGCTTGGAAGGATTACAAGTAGCTTGGCTTGTAGTGGAAAAAAACGAGGTAAGACTACGTTTCTACATTCAGGTACATAGATCAGAAAACAGTATTGGGGTTTTGCAAAAGACTTTTTCATCTTCTTCAAATTGAAAGTAAGTTCACGCGTATGGAAAGATTAGCAGTAGGAGCTAACACAAAGGGTCAAAGTGATGTTATTCCTCATGAATGGACCCTTTACATCTAATTGTTGCAGCTTCACGTCGTGATGCTGTAGATCAAAAATTGTACAAGTACTGTACTAGTTTCTCAGTCTCAATTGTAAAACCTAGGGGTTTGTTCTTAGTGATGAAAGAAGCCATTGCGTCCAAGGTAGGGGAACAGTTTAACTCCATCTCCTGCGTTTAGGACATCTTTTTACTGGCCGGGAGTTGATATATCTGTAAGAGACCTTCAGCTACTTCAACTTAACTCTCCCAGCAGGAGTCACTATAGTACAAGAAACTGCCGCTTAGATGAAAATTTCAAAAATAAAAGAAGAAAAAATAGTTTAAAAAAAAGAGAGAAATTACAGTTTTGCCACCTACGTTCAACACTACATTGAAGATGAGCTCCTCACTGGTATCGGCAAGGCTGTGGCATAGCTGCAAGCCTCCTCATGCAGAGTCTTTCCATTTCAAAAGCACTTCAGTGGTGTAAACACCGTTTGTACAGTGTCCCCAGCCTCGCTTTTCTTCTTCTCACAAATTGAGGCTTTCAGTTAGTTGGACATGTGAGCGTATATCTGAACACATAGTCCCTTGATATCAAAGACAGTAACTACATTTAAAAAACATTTAAAGTTGTGACTGTACCACACACAGACAAGCATGGAAATCCTCCACAAAGATGAAACCTCCTCTATCTAGACACAGCGGAAGCTTGGGAAACATTACAATGGCAAGGCAGTGGCTGTACAATACAGGTTTCTATTATTCTACATAAACTGTTTCTCAAAATGCTTCAGAGTTTAACAGAGGAGTTAGGTTTCCTCCTCTTAGTTTAATATTTTTTATTGGTGTTTTTTCCCCCTTTATTTTTATTTCTATTTGAGGACTGGATTAATTCCAGTGAGTGACACTGTGATATATCGATTAGTTGGAAATGCTACACTAACAGTGTGAAGATTATGAATGTGGTCTTCTACTGCGTTTATCAGAGCAGGGGGCACAAAGACACTCTTGTAGTTTAGGAAAAGCCTCATACATCATTTTGAAGGGGTAACCATAAAGCCTTCCATCAACAGTATTTGTTTCTTGTGCCTGCTACCTGCAGTTTACATCAGGGGTACAAAGTAGCATTGGGAATGTTTAAAGAGATGTAGTCACGTGCTGAAAGATGACAGAGTACAACACACATTTCTCTATAGTTTTCCAGGCCAAAGAACTGTGTAAAATACGGTATGAACAAAGTGTGGACATGACTATTTTACTCATGGCTGAAGAAACCTAAGGGGTGACATTTTCACAGCCAGCTCTTTGCCTGCCAGGTACCACTAACCTGTTGCTACCATCTTTTTTAGAAGGCTGTAGGGGCCATTGCACAGTTTTTGTTTTTTCCGGCCATGACTTGAGTTCAGCATAAGCCTTGTAAAAGTCAGCTTGTGCTGCTTTTCTTCTTAGTTTCCTATATCCCAAAGCAAGTGTAAGGGTCAGGTTCTGTTCTCAGTTCAATCTGTTGATATCAATGGGATTGCATGCTTCCAGTCCACAACAGGATTGAATCACTGTTGAGCCAGTCCTCCATTTTTTGCACTGCAAGGCTCTTGTTAAAAGAGCCTTTGGACTGAGGCCAAAGTGTAATTGCATAAGGTGAAAAATCCCCTTTGCAAATCCTGAGGCCAACAAGTGATGTAGATTCTAATGATTCTGTATGGATCTCTTTTGACTCTCTATAATTTCAGTGTTATTTTATTCTGGTAGAGTTTCTGTATAATTTTTTTAAGCCAGAAATGAAAGGCATGAGAGTTCAGATTATACTAGGCATGATCTCATAATAAATGCCACTGAGAAATATGATCTTTATTATAATATGACACTTTTGAAACCTGCTACCTCTATATTACATATTATATAGGTGACATTCTGCACAAGTGAGACAAGTGGTGATTGCAACTGATTGTCCACTGTCTGGAACAGTGAGGGTTACAGACAATATTGCAGCAAGACTAGCCAGTGTATTTTTAGGCTAATGACTCAATCAGAGATCAAGCACCAGTACAACTTGTTTATGCATTGTACAAATTTCTATGTATTTCTTGCACAGAAACCTTTGTTATTACATTATTAAGTTATAATCTTAAGTTATTACATTATTTTAATAATCAGACTTCTGCAGTGCCCTGCATCTATATTTCATGTTTCCAGTTCTCATGGTGTTCAAATGCTTGTGGAGCAGAATTTTTTAACTCTTTACTCTTGGCTGCTGTAAGGCTTTGCAGGTTATGCTGCAGCAATATGATGGTAGAGTTCGACACAACTTACTCTGCTTTGCTTCTGAAATGGCAATAGTAGGGCAGATCAAAGGGTCTTCCTGGTAGGTTGTTCTGAACAGGACTATAATACCTGGTTCTCACCTGTTAGAGGACAAGGAACCTTTTTCCAACATGATCCCTCTTGAGGAGGCTGTTTGGACTCATTTTCACTGAAGAACTGTTTTTAATCTACATTTTTTTGTTATTTATTTAATATGAAACATCTGAAGTCAGTAAACTGTGTTAGTGAGAGCAGGGGGATCTTTGGGTGTCATATTGTTGGAAGCACTTGCAGTCAACTCGAGAGTGTGTGTGTATGTGAGAAGGGATTTGCTTTTAGGCTTTCCAGTCTGGAGGCAGACTCTTAAGGTAAAATCCTCTAAGACTGACTGAGTGAATCTTTTCATGGCTTAAAACTCTCAGCAAATGAAATCAAACAAGCTTCAAACTAATTCTCTGTAGTCAGTGGTCCTGGCTATAACCAAGAACTCCTTGTCTTCAGTCATTAGGAAGTATTTATGAGTTCACTGTGCTCTGGGAGTGCTTTCTGAGATCTGCATGTTCTCATTAATCCTTCTGGCCACAGGCTCATGAAACATCTCTTGTGTCATGTAGAGCTTCACCTAACTCTTTTTAACTCACTTAATGTAATCTATATTTCAACCATTTGTGTGTCAAAACTGATTATAGTATTGTACAGCTAGATCATCTGTGTGGGAGAAAGGAATTAAGGCAGGCTATACATTATCCCTGTCTTGACAAGCATCTTAAAATAACATGCAGCAACCTCCACAAACTATTATGTTTTAGTATTAAAAGCTGTTTGTTTTTAGTTCTTCCCTGAGCTTTCTTAAGGAACTCCATTTGTGCGTTTCTTACATTCCTTTCTTATAGGTCTATTAAAAATTAATTGTACGTCTTGCTAGAGTTAATAATTTTGATTTTTCTTTCTAATATGTCAATCATATTTTTTTTATATTGTGTTTTAAAGAAAGAATGTGCTTTAATTCTTTTAATTGCGTTGCTATTATAGGAAGTCTCTTAGTAGCAGCTTAAAGGGAAATGCTTCCAATAACTGGTACATTCTCTTTCCATTAGAGATTAACCATTCCAAGCAGTTGTCCCAGAAGTTTTGCAGAACTGATGCAGCAGTGTTGGGATGCTGATTCAAAGGTAATTTAATGTGTGTTTGATTTTTAACCCCCCCCAGCCTTGTTTTGCAAAGTGCATTAGTATTTCTGTGGGGGACAACTCTGAGCTGACACCATTGATGTATGCTAAAACACATTTCTTCACAAAGATAGCTAGGGCTGGGGTTTTTTAATGGGTTTATATATTTGTATGTAAATGTCTGTCTCACTTTTAATCAAGAGCTACTATGCTACTAACTTACCTGACTACTAAAGACAATGATGGGAAATATGGTAAGATGGCAAAAGTTTAGCCATTCTGGAGCAAGTGGAAAAATGGCGGGTTTTATATTTTCTTTCAATAGTTAATATTTGATCTTTCTTGGATGTATGTGAGCATCATGTTATGAAATACCTATTCCAAGGTCCAATTTTGATGCCATCCTTGTGTTGAAAACACAAATGTAATTAAAGAATAAGTTAATCCGTAAAACATGGGTAGCAACAGCAGCAACACATTCTGAATTGACATTAAATCTTTCCTAATCTGTTCCCTTAGGACGAATGATGAGCTTTATAATGACTATACTGTAATAATATGATAATAGCAGTACTGTTTAACCATGAAAACAGAATAAAAAGTTAAAGAGCCAAACCATTGTTATTATTAATCTGCTGCTACAAGGAAGGAATTAAATAGAGTATTTAGAGAGTAAAAGCTTTTGTAGGTTATGAGAGTTAGCTTCTTTAAATGGACTCTGCTACCATCCTGTTTTACATAAAACTGGCTGGAAAGAGCCTGTGGGCATACTAGCTTTATTACCAAGGATTAACATCCATTTCCTTTGCTTATGAAAATATTCGAGACAGGAAAGGATAGTTAAGTAGAGGAAATTATGCGCTTTTTCTCAAGTCAAGGCACCAGCAAGAACTTCGTTTCTTTAAACTCAGGAGAAAGCTAGCTACTACTTCAGAGAAACCAAGACCAATTCTAAGACAAATTATAGCATTTAGGTTCTCTAAACTAGAAATTTTTATCACCAGAGAGTAGTCATAGAAGAATAATATGAGGAAGGAAATATCACTTCTTGGTCTCTCTTTTTTAAGCAAGAAGTTGCTTTCCTACAGAATAGATCTGGAAGACTGAGATCCATCAACATGTGGTTTCCACATGAACAGACATTTAATTGTCATTCTCTTAATAACTCCCTGTATCCTCCCCACAGAAGGGGAGGAAAAAATGCTTTGAGTTTTTGAATCTACAAGTAGGCTGTTTAAATTCTAGGTCAGTAATTACTGAAGAGCACTTTCAATGACAACTACTTATCTTTAATAACTGCTCCCAAGCGTCAGTATCGCTACCAAAGGCCTCAGAATAAGAATTGCTGGGGCTCCTTTTCTGTAATTGTAGCACATACTAGATCAGCTCACTCTCTGCCTTGCTTTAGCCACAAGGAGAGGGAGGGATCTTCATGTTGTAAAAGAAGGATGCTTAACCATCAGGCTGAGTTCTGTCTGCCTAAGTAATTCACCTGGGTGTGGGCTTCTGGGAACATTGTTCCCAGAGACATCTCTGGATTGTGTGCAAAGAGTGAATCTCATGTGAGAGGGGTTTTTTTGACAGTCTGCTCTTTGCTATTTTTTTTCATGCAGCTCTTCTTCTGTTAGGCAATTATAAATACTTTGTTCACGTGACTGAAATGGAGTAATCTCTGGTCACAATTTGGGCATGTGACTGACTTATTCAGTCACGTGTTGGGAAAAGATCACTTCTTACAGCTCTCAAAATGCTTTGATAAAAGGCTGTGTGGCCTGCATGAGCCAAAAGATGGAGCACGCTCCTCTGAAATAGTGCTCTGTGTAACATTCCCTTTTTGCCAGGATTAGCTTTAGAAAATCAGATCGTTGATGCATGAACTGAAGGTCAAGCAGAGGTGAGCTCGAGGATGTCAGCTGCTCAAAGGCAGTTGCTAAGGTGCATACTTTTAGTCCACAGAAAGCATAAGGTAACTTTTGGTGGCTTAACCCTGAGAAAAGAGGGATGCGCATTTACTGTGGGGCTAAGGAGTACACTTGTAGAGCTGCTGCAAAGCAGCTGGAGTGTCAGATATGGCTCACACCATAACTGCCTCATGGGAATGGACAGAGTTATTAATGTTGCTTTGAATTCTTACAAATTTCATCATATGTGGAGAAAAATGTCTGTAGTTCATTGCTCTACGTGATATTTGGAATGGTAGTCTTTATGCAGTTTAAACTGCTAGGTGAAATAAACAGCTCACATGTTAAATTTTCTAACAAACAAGTTGCTTTTGCTTGGGTACGAGATTGTAGAAACAAGATTGCTCATTACTGGTGCCTTTGTTTAACTGGGGTTACTTGCTTTTGAAACACAGGTGAATGATTCTTTCTCATTTCATCTATTCCTTCGGTTTATCTCCATATCAAAGATGTTTATAAATTACTGAGTATTTTAATGGAAATCAGAAACCTGAGAACGGAGAGAAAGCAAGAAATGAAAGTCATATGGATTAAATATCCTGGGTTTGTGCAGACCTATTCAGTAAGAAATACTTAGTGGAAGGAAACAATGAAAACATTAGCCAGAGTTATTTCTAGAGGAGCATGTATTTTAAAGGTTTCAGTATGAGGCATCACAGATATAAAGGGAAACAGTTTTCAAAGGCGACTCATGCCTGGATATTTTAAGAATCTCTTATAAGGACTTTCTAGAAAGTACTAAGCAGTTATCCACCAAAAATAAGACTTTTTTTGTCAAGGTTTCTCAGCTCGGGCTCCCAATTTCACAAATCACTTCTTGCCAGTTTTAACCACTCTGTACTTAGAGTGCATTTATTAAATCTGAAATTACCCTTTCCTAGGGGCAAGAAACCACCAGCAAAACCCACATGGCAGTGTAGGCTTGTCTTCCTGTCACCTTTTTCTCCACGGAAAGCTGGTACCTGTAAATCTGGCAGCTACAAAGCTGGCAGGATAGCTGCTGGCTGTTCGCAGATATTGCACAGCCAGAGATGTACAAGCTTTGACGGTACTGTGTGACTCTGCAATTGTTCCAGCTCCGGTTGCACAGCTCAGCAGCTCCTGTGCCTGTAGTGTAGGACCCACCAAACGTGTGGTGCTGCTCCTCCCAAATCACTTGTTTGGTCCTTTTGCTCGCCCTTAGTAAAAGCCCTGTTCTCCATCATTATCTCCACTCCAGTTAGTGCAGGCAGGCTTGACGATAGTGCTGACTGTGCTCACTTAGTGTCAGCCCTGTCTTATACTTCCTAGGGTACTCCCAAAAAAAAAGGAGCAAGCAAAACTTCTGAAAGTGTTTTGTAAAATAATCCTGAACAAGCCGTAAAATGTTGTAAGTAATGCAGCATGGGGATGTTTGCTCTCGGTCTTTTCCTGAAAATAGGATTAGTTTAGTTCAGGCACATTATGCACCTTCTAGTCTGTTGGACAGGGCGTAGCAGTAGCAGTACCTTGGTGTATTGGTGGGGAGCCACCATCTCCTGTCTGGCAGCTTCCTCTCCATTTGGGAGGCTCTTGAATCACCTCAACAGTTTGTGTCTTGTAACCATGTGGTTACAAGAGACGCAGCTGTAGCAACAATAAGGGTGTGAGGGCAGTTTGAAGGTTCTTCTGCCACAAAACTGCACTGGAGTTGTCGTCCTTGTTGGTGCCAGGGATGGATTTTGTGCTCTGTACCCCCAGTGCCGCACACTCCCTGACTGGGGAAGTTTGGGCTCTTCCAGGGTGTGTTGAGAGGATCTACTCAGCTGTGTTTGGTCTGGCAGCATCATGCATGTGGAGGGGAGGACTGCTGCCTCCTACAGCTGCCTGTAAAGGCAGGGTGACCCTGCTGGATTTCCATGTCAACAAGTGAACAGGCACCTGTTGCCAGGCGTGCCCAGGTTGCTGCTCCATGGATGCTGGGCTGGGGGCCAAAATGCATAAGCATATAGGAGGCTGGGGCAGGTCTGTTGCAAAAAAAAAGCTGTGTAGCTCATTCAACTGCCCATTGCCTGAAATCATGGAGATGGACCAAAAAATGACAGACAAAGCCTCCAGTTACAGCCGAATAGTGCAGCATTACAGTATAAGAGAGCTTGTCTTTTTTTTTGTTTTGCATTTGACACTTTTTCATGCTGTTTGACATTTAAAATAAAGAAATTGTCTTTCTTTCATAATGTGGAAATCACTTGGATCTTCCTGAGAGAGACACCTCAGCATTGTTCCTAATTGGTTTTGTGCTTCCAAATTAAAATGCACGTTTTAATTGCGGCATCTGTAATTTTAGCAGAAATGGTATAATTAAAGGCGCGATAGAGAAAGAATGTGCATCATCCCCTTATTATGTATCTACATTTTGTTTCAACCTTTTGTCTCAACCTTGTCTGGGGTCTGTCAAACAGACTAACAGAGTCAGCGCTCTTTCAAGAAACACATTTAACTCTAGCTTTTTCAGTTTTCAGTTATTATCCTACTTCATAGCTTCCCCTTGGGACTAAGGGGAAAGTAGGAAATACAGAAAAGTTTTAACTGCTCTTTGTGATTAGTGAGCACAGTGGGTGCTGGATGGAGAGCCCTGAACAGAAAGTTCAGTAAATGAGCCCAGGATAGAAGAGCACAGACACCACTGATATGAGCTTAGCTGCCAGGTGAGGCATCCTTACCTAGCCTCAATCTTCACTTCTTCCCTGGCTGCTCTGTGGTAGCTAAAGTGAGAGGTTTTTCTGAAAAGTCTCTCCTCTGCAAGAGGGGAACTGCAGCCAGAAAACCGTTTTTGATGAGCAGCTAAATAGCTTGTTCACACACTGAAGAGTTTGTGTTAGTACCTGTAAAAGGCCATCTCTCTAATTACCAGTTGCTGATGGGTCCAGCCTTCTATATTTGGCAGCATTTTCCTTCTTAGCTTGAGAAAAACTTCGGAATTGAGAATCTAGATGATTATTGATGCTACTAATGTTGTTTAATGCTGTTTACTGATAGACATGAAAGACTAAGCTAAGGCTCGAGTCCTACTAACCTATGTGACTCTTCCCAAACTGACCTTTTCTTTAATGGGAGAAAAAAAAACCACAAAAATTTACAAACTTGCAGTCCTCTTGTAGGATTGCTGTGTTCAGAAAGGAGCATTGCAATTTCTGTTGCTTGTGGTTTTTCAGTTGAAAAATTCCTGCCCATATTTTTAGTAGTTGTATATAGATGCAAATGTTCTGTTTTGTTTTGGTTTTCCTTTGTCTTCAGAAAAGGCCATCTTTCAAGCAGATCATTTCAATCCTGGAATCTATGTCAAATGACAGCAACCTTCCAGACCAGTGTAACTCATTCCTGCATAACAAGGCGGAGTGGAGGTAAGTTTCCTTCCTCCCGGGATGAAATGATGTGGTTTTACCTTGAAATGGGTATGAGCGTTCTTTTCAGAAAGACATCAGACTCCGATGATGTATTGGCAGCAAATATGTGTGCTTAAGGTATTTTTAGAATATAACTTACCTTGTTGTTTTTCAGGAATGCCCAGAATGTTGCGAAACTTGTATTAGGAGCCAATGCACTTAGCTGTACCCTCTATTTATTATTACACTGGTTTAGGTATCATGATATTTATGGTTTTGTGATTCACATCTTAAAACCAATTATGAGTTTCCAGTCAATAGTGTGGGGGCAAAAAACCTCAGATATATGTATGACTGATGCAATTTTCGTAGGAAGTGTATAGGTGATGTTAATATTAAGACCAAAAAAAGATAAAGGGCATAAAAAGCCTGTTTCAAGTCAAGCCTCTATTTGTCCTCACTTGTATGTGTTCTACCATTTCTTATGCATTCTCTCCCTTGTCTTGACTGTGTGTCCATGCATCCAGCATACGCTCAGGCCAGCTTGAGCATATTGATTTTAGCTATTGCTGATTGTAATTGTTATTCATAAGTGGTGATAAATGGAGATGAGCTTTGAGAAAATTTTATTACATGACAGTTTTACAGTTAAAAGTTCCAGCTTCTTATTTGGTATGGGCCAAAACTTCAGAAACCTGTCCCCAAAGCTTATTTGTGGGTTAGAAAACTCACTGCTTCTCAGTACAGCGTTCTGTTTGGGAAAGAAAATTGAAAGCAGATCCGCACAGGCAGAAGAGTTTTGCAGATGATCGTGCCTCAGTCTATATTAAGAAGCACTGGCCCTGCGCCAAGCAAGCAGGGAGCAGAAGTACTGAAGGATTCCCAGCCTGCAGGCATCGAAGAAACCGGGACTGGGTGGAGGATGGGGAAGAGCACATGGAAATGGGGCTTGTGTCAAGCCCGGCATCCCACGTTTCCTCCGCTGCCTTCCAAGGAAAGGCAAGGCGTAGAGTTTTAGTGGGACGAGTGGAAAAACTGAGCTGGCGATGGGGCGCCCCCGGTCACATGGCCGGGTATAAATAGCCGGGGCCGGGGCCGGTCCTGCCCTGACTCAGCAGCGCCGGCACCGCGGCCCGGGACGGCCTGCGGCGGCACCGCGCCCTCTGCTGGCGGCAGCGCCGCGCTGCGCCCGCCGCCCGGCCCGCCGCCCGGCCCGCTCCCTGCCCCGCTCCCTGCCCCGCTCCCTGCCCCGCTCCTTTTCCCGCTCCCTGCCCCGCTCCCTGCCCCGCTCCCTGCCCCGCTCCCTGCCCCGCTCCCTGGCCCACTCCCTGCCCCGCGCTCAGCCCAGCGCTCACTCCCGCTCCCTGCCCTGCTCTCTGTCCCATCGCCCTCGCTGCGGGACTCCCCCCTGGAGCGGGGTCCCCCGCAGCCCCGGAGAGCAGTGTTCAGAGTGCCCTCTTACCAATACCCGGCTCTCGAGTGTTTGCCAATGATTTTATCCGTGGCGGTGCTTTTACTGCTTTATCAGTATGCCCCTTCCCCCCAAATCCGTGGTGTAAGGCTTGGGACAAATGTTGGGTATTTCAAGGCAAACTTGTTTCATGGCACCGTTGTTTGTGCAGACTGTGGGCATCATATTGTGATTTTGATAGTAGACAGAATACAAGCAGGGTTGAAAGAAAAATATCCCCCAGTGAGGGGCTTCCTATACACCCCTACATTGTAAAAATATTTTTAAAAGAGGAGCAAGTGCTCAAATGCCCTTAGGAAAAAGCAAATACCTACTTAAATCTTGCCAGTATAGCAGAATGAAAGCTGTGCTAGCTGGCACTTGCTAACAAAGTTCTATTCTTTTACTTAATCAGTTTATTTCTTGGGGTGTGACTCAGGTGGCCCAGGTTCTTCTTGCAAATTTTATTTTGATGCACCTAGCTTACTCGGGTGGGGAATGTCTGAAAAGGTATTAATGAAAAGCCATATAGAAACAAAACGCTCTTTGGCACTCTCAAGTAACAGAAAAAGTTCTTACTATGGGGACTTGTGTTAAAGATAAATTTGGCATTTTTTCTGGGATAATAAACAACTTGAAGACAAAGAAATATGAGAGAGAAAATACAAATTCCTGATGGGACATGATTTTCCTGAAAGCAAAGATGATTTCTGAATTAAACTGAAATGAAAACACAAAGTACAGAAAGAGCACAAGTTGTGTGGGGAATTGTTTGGAAGCTGGGTAAGAGGGCTGTTCTCCAACCCAAATTCTGGTAATGGCTGCCTTCCCTGATGTGAAAGCCATGTCTGTATGGAGGCATTCATGAATGTGAAGTCAAATTAACAGAAAGTATGCAAAAAATATGCCACCTGAAGTAGATGAAAGATGCATAAAGTGATCCCAAAGGATAAACTAAAACAGACTAAGACTGTTTCTAAAAACAATTGCGCCGAAGTTAACATGTTTTAACTTCTGCACTGAAAAATCTTTTCTTTTATTCGTAGCTTCTTTTTTTTCTTTCATGTTTTTTTATCCCACAGTGATTTGCAAAGAGATAGTGGAACGAGCAGTAGGGAAAGAATGAGATGTGTTACCACAAAATAGGGAATTTTAATGAAGGCTGGCTTTTAGAACCCTAGAGAAGGGTGGGCTTGGGAAAAGCAAAGGTTATGCTTGTTCCTTTGAGGGACCTCTGAATTAGTGATCCAGATACTGCACTTTCACAAGGATACTGCACTTACCAAAGCAAATCAAAGCTCAGACAAGCTGGATTACATTTTTTCCCACTCTTAAAGAAAGGAAAGCTGAAGTTCTTTCTGTATAGACATGCACAAACTGTATCTGTAACAGCAAGTAACTTCATTGTCACTATCCAGTTAGTGACAATGTGAAAACTGACAGTGGGCTGAGTCTATACATGACTGGTGGAGTTTATAACATAAATGACACTTTGACCTATCTATAATGTGGTTTTATTTGAAGCATTCTCTGGTCCTGATTATATTAATAATGCATTTTAATCTGTTTGTTCTATAATTTCCTTAAAATATTTCAGTATCATATTTCCTAAGTGTTCTGCACATTTTTGTTATTTAATTGAATAGGGACGCTGTCTTATGCCTGAGTTGCGCAGATCTGCTGTATTTTTAAGTTCATATTTTGTGATGTTTTTGGAGCTCTTTCTCAAGTCACTTTTATTACAGTAGAAAAAAATTACTGTTGAAGTAATGATGTTCCAGTTCAGTGAGAGATCACATTTGTCTGCAGTTAGTCATATATACTAACTGCATTTCTCCTTCCATCCTCTCCCCACGAGTGGCTGTTCTAATGATTAAAATAATTTATTAATGATACTTTTATTAGTGTATCAGTAGCAACTCAAGACATATAAACAAATGCCAGTCATTGTTTTTAGTCTGTGAATGTTTATCATTATGGTTTCTAGTAATACAGTATACGTTCTTCAATGTCACAGAATGAGATTATTCTAGAGAAGCCAGTAAACTCAGAGTGCACAACTACAGAAGCAAACAAATCCACATGCCCTACCATGTGTAATGTTTCAAGCTGCTTCATTTATGGAGTAAGACTCATTAAGTGGGCAATGTACGGTAGCTTTCTCTTTAATTACACAGTTTCATTATACAGTGAAATTATTTTTCAGAATGCAACTGTTTTTGCAGACTGACCTTTTATTATAAGAGAAGTTTCTGTCTAATGAAGAGAGGTAATTACAGCACAAAATAGACTTTTGACGCATAGAAAACTATTGTTACCAGGACTTCCATAGCTCAGAATGTTATTTTAAAAGATAATGTAATTTACATATTTTAAAAATTATACAGTTGTATGTAAGTAGTGGTGATGACGAGAGACACTAAGAAAAGCTGCACTTGCAGTTGTCCTCAAAATGCTCTGTAGTTCCCACAGTAGATTGCATAGTATATGTTGCACCTGCTGGAAAGGGTTTATGATAGGGAAATGAATGTTTGGAGCAGAGTCACTTTCTGACCTTCTCTCTGGTGCTTTTCTGTTTTATTCCCTTATTGTCTCTTTATTAGGATTTATCACCACTTTCTACCCAGCACAGAGATCAGTCTTGACCTTTGCATGCCTAAATACGATAAAGAATTTTGCTTGAAATCTGAAGCATGATAATTAAGAGGGGCATTTTTTCTGACCACCACATCGAACCGCTCGCTCAGCAAGACTCAAGTGTGATAAATGTCTTTGCCCCCAGGTGGCTGATTTTTGCAGTAGAATTAAGCATGGTGCTAGAGTTTGCAGTAGACTTTGCTAGTTATTCCAGCTCTGAATCCTTTCACTGTACTTTGTAAGCATTACTCTCTGACAGAGATGTCTTATTAAATTGAGAAATCTGTAAAATTTGGAATATATATATTATTTCATTTGCTTAAATAGACTGTTTGGGTATGCGATTTTCCCACATTGAGAGCCCGAACTCTTTTAAGTTGATCGTGGAGAAGAGCTTAATCATTCCATGCTAGGACAGGAGATTTACAGAAAGTAATAATTCTCTTTCCCTACCCCAAATAGAAATGGCAGCTAACTCTGTTACTCCTTTTATTTTCTTTTTGAAAACGTCAGAAGGAGCATATTTTGTTTGCAGTGTGTTTATGCAGGAAAAATAAAGTGAAAGTTTGAGCAGAATATTTGGCCTTGTAGAGTCCCAGTAGCTGTCTCCAGAGCTCTCTTTAGGATCTCTGTCTCCTTAGGAGCTAGCTTTTCCTAGGAGGAAAACAAAATACTGGGATTGACTCTTCCCACAACTGTTTCCGAAGACTAGTTGAAGCAATAGTCAGGACACAGGTGGCAGGCAGTGCACAGTCTCCCAGACAGGCACAGAAATGGTTCATTAAATGCAAATACAAGCTCTGATACGAATTGGAGTTTTTTCTTTGGTTATCCTGTGAGCAAAAAATGTGTCCGAATCTGGTGACAGAGTTGCTTTTCACCTTCTAGTATACACCCGTGAATTCGTAGTGCAAAGCTTGTTAAATTCTCTTCCAAGAACGGTTCAATTCATGTGTTTAAAAGATACTGTCCATCAGAAAGTTTGTCAAAAGAAACCACTTTGTTAAGGGAGGTACGTGCAGTGAAACCAAGTAAAGATGCTGTCTGAAGCTTCTCAGAGTACTGCCTTCATTTCCCGCCTTTAATATTTTTCATACCTTTGCATGTACAGTGAGAAGTAGAGAAAAGTAAACTAAATCTTTTTCACAGCTGTTCCTAACTTGAGAAGCTTGTGTTTGTGACCATTTGCAGGACTGGGTCATATCATGGTTTGTATTCTTGCTCTTATATTTTCACCTAAAGGAACAGGAAGTTAAGAGGGAAAAACACCCCAGTACTGCTTCTGTGCATTTGAGTGCAAGTCCAAATAGTATTTATGGCCAAGTTAAACTCAGGCAAATGGGCTTCTTAGACTGCCTGTATTGTGTTGCTAAGGATTGTCCTGTTACCAGTCCTTAATACAGTTTCTTTATGGATAAGGTCATGTTTCATGATGTTGAGGGGAAAGAAGGCATTTTCATTTTTTAAATATTGTTATTATATGGCATTTTACTCTTTTAAATGTTATTTTTCTTCAACTGAAGGTATTATGGTTGTTTTCAAGTATAAACATTGCAATTTGTTCTTACAGCTCTGGAAGACTTTGCGTTTGGTAATTAAATGAACTGCTTGAGCTAGTATTGTACTTTTCAGCCTTTCAGATTTAATTAACATTCAGGTGGGAATTATGAACAATTTATATCTGTCGGGAAAAGACAGGACGTAACAAATTGTCTCTGTGCAGATGTGAAATTGAGGCAACCTTAGAGAGACTAAAGAAACTGGAGCGTGATCTGAGCTTTAAAGAGCAGGAACTAAAGGAACGGGAGCGACGTTTGAAGATGTGGGAGCAGAAGTTAACTGAACAATCAAATACTCCTGTAAGTAGACAATAATTCAACTTTTCATCTTGTGTCAGAAAGTGTTTGGAGCTTTGTCTATGTAAATCTCAAAACACACCAAGGAAGTAATGCTCCAGTTGTCTGTAGTTGGTTCTTTGGGCCAATTAAAGTCCATTTTATTACATCACTCCAAATAACAATACTTTTTAAAAAATTCGTCAGTACATTAGATACCAGGTGTTACTGATAGTTCATACTGGGACATGGGCACTTTAAGTAGTGTCCTGTTGATTCATTTAGAGTTCTCAAGTTTAAAAGTTGTTTGCATTCAGTAAATTGTTTTTTCATCTAGAAAGTTGTTGACTTTAATGGATGAAGGATTTGGTCTTAAATGTAAGAATGATTTGTATCTTGCAGAAGGCATCTTAGGAAACCTATGTAGATTTTTTTTTATTCTGTTCTTTTTCTTTGAGAAGCAGCAAATTTCCATTCTGTGAAAAAGGGGGTCAAAGTTTGAAGTGTTAATTTAAGGTTGTGTTCATAATTATAGTTAACATAACTTTCACTGGCCAGTTACCAGCTGTTAGAATTGCTACATTTCTATTAATAAATTGAACAAAAACCTTCATTGCATTATCTTGAATTTCTTAACGAAATGTGATGCTCTTCAACCACTGATTGGCAGAGGGAGGACCACAGGGTTAGTGCATGGCGAGACATATTACAACAGAGTTGTTAAAAAAATACTGATACCTGTTTGTTTTTAAAGCACTAGCCAAAGCAAGTGATTGCAGTAGCATATGATTTTACTTATGCAGTTTTACCCTACTTGTAACCTTGATTCCAGCCAGACCCATTTACATATGACTTGTTTTCAAGGCATAGCTTATTGCTGTTGTTTGAATAAAGTTGCATTTATGTTCCAGCTGTGAACATGCAGTAATGAAATAATGAAGGATGAATGTTTTCCTATGTACAGATACTGTATGTTCTCAGTAGATATCTGTATGTCTGCTTTAACGCTTGCGAGCTTCCAGTAACTGAGCTGTGGGCCATCCTCTGTTCTGAGCACAGCATGAGACACAGCCTTAATGAGCAAACCTTTTCACCAGCAAGGCCCTGGGGTTTTTATGCTGTACTTGCTTATGACTTGTACTTTTCACTTAGAGCTAGCATTCCTGAAAGAATAAAGCACTGTGCTAAGGCCTATTGTGCTAAGCATGAACTGTCTTTCTGCATAACATTAACCCAACTCTCCTATTGCATTTAAATGCAATTTCTTCTAATAGAGAAATATAAGTTTGTTTTTTCTACAGATCTTAAGTGAACTGTTACAGAGAACAGCTTTAAAAAAGGCCCTTTTTTGGAAAAAAATTGACATACTGGCAAAAAATGGCTTATTGAAGCTAGTTGTCTTTTTCATAGTGAATGAAGTTCTACAAAGCACTGGTTACATGTACAACTATATTTTAAATATATAACTTTAAACCATTTGAAAAATATCCCTGGGCGTTCTGTTTGCAAACTGTAATCCTTAAGAGTCAAGCATCTGTCTCCCTCCATTGGTTCAGGCAGTGTCTGCTTGGCAGTATCAACCTGGAGGGTTGCAATGGGGAGCTACAGTGCTTGATTTTAAACTACCTTGACTGTAAAAACAGTAGTAAAGATATGGCAGCCAGAGCTATGACACAGCTTAGGGTTTATCCACTACGGATAAACATGGTTCTTAACCAACACTAGGCCTTGTGTCCTAGCTGGTACTCTTGTCCCTTCTCTATGTTCTGTGGTCACCTCTTTAGTTTGCTCTGCAGCAAAGACCAGAGGCCAGTGGTATGCAGGAGGAGAAACTCAAACCAAGTGAAAGGAGGACAGCAAAGCTGTCTCTGCCACTTGATTCTCCAGTGTTGTAGGGCTGGTAGGAGCTTCATCCTGCATGGTAGGTAATTATGAGTGGCAGGCTGCTCCGGCTCTAAAGTATAGCTTTACACACTTCAGCATGAGAGAAGGGTGTGGCCAACATTTAGAAATGCTTCTGTGAAAGTAGTGTTTCTCCCTGTTCTTGTTTTGTCCCTGTTTCTGCTGTATATTATACAAAAGAGACCTTTGAGTCTGATCTTTGCAAATTCCTTTGTGCAGATCTCCAAGAGCCTCTAGCATAAGGGAATCTGGAGCCTTTTGGAGGAGTAAAATATATCCATAGCTACAGTGAAATGGGAGATTTCTTTTGAAAGGGAACCTGACTTTAGGAAGACAGTGTTATGTAGCTAAGCTGAACCTCTTATTTAGAGAAAGACAGTGAGCAAGACATGAAATCCAGATGCCCACCTGTTACCTGCAGGTGATCATGTAAGAACAGTGGAATTTACAGAGATTGGTGGATCCCAGCCATCTCTAATTGTCTCTTCATGATAGTCATCCTATGAAATGTGACACCAAAGGCATGTCCTGTCCCAAAGAGCTCTTTAAGTTCTCCAGCTAATGAGATGGCAAAATATGGAGGAAGTAAAATGATTATAACTTGCAAAATTAGCCACAGTTATGGCCATTCATAGCTTACCCACTCTCAGGCATTGAACAGTCAATGACCCAGAAATGTGTTCTAGTGGAAAGCTGATTTGCAGCTTTGTTGATTTTTTTTTTTTTTATAGGGATTCCTTCCCATATGTCAGGGAATGCTCTTCTAAGGATCTAAAGTGACTTTAACTACCTGGCAAGGAATTGTGTGTGATGTGGCTAGGTCTTGTTTTTAAAACATTACTTCTTTTTATCATAGGAGCTTTTGGTGTTCTTAATCCAACTAGTGCTCTGGTGATGGTGTAATTGGGGGTTTTTTGTACAGCCAGGTGTATAGAAGCTTAGCTGCTGGTTCTTTCATCACTTACCCATAGGATGCATGAAGACTATTTAGGGCACCCCATTTCCCCAACTTCTTAGTTTTATTTTTGTTTCTTAAACCCTGATCACTAACTTCTGTTAACCACAATGCAAATAGAAAGCCTGTGTAACTTGGGAAAACTCGAGAGGAACAAAAGACAGATATTGTCTTTTAATGATAGACAATTAGTTGGTGTAAGTGGTTTTACCAAGAAATGGGCAGTCTTTGAGCAGCCTGGCCATGAAGCCTCTTGTATTACAGACCAGGGCATCACCATAATTACCCTTGTAACCTGTTGTGACCAACTGCTATTGACTTTTTGGTCAGTTTTCCGATTAGGTTAAAAAATGTGAAAAACCCATGAATTTTGGGCAGGTAGTTTTTGCAAACAGCTTTGGAAAGAAAGGCCAGTTAAGTGTTCACACACCACTCCTTTGCTGTTGTTTTAGTAGGTAGTTTAATTTAGGATGAACTCCTGAGTCTTTACTCCCTGTGGAGCACAGGCAAGCCTATCACAGAGGTTACTAGCTTGGCCACTCTGAAGAGGCATTAGTCATTATTTAGCTGGAGAGAGCACATTTCATTTGTTATTACAAACAGACTGGGCCAGGAGAATGCCATTATCTGTAGGTGAAGGTTATATCAGTAGAGATCTAATGTGGTGTACAAATGGCAGGATAGCTATTGATATCACTGAAAAAAAAAAACAAACCCAAAAAAACTAAGCTGAAGAGCCAGCCTAAAGCAGCCCCTCTTCCCCTGCCTGCTCATCCCTGGGACAGCTTGCAAAAGGTGCTAGTGCAGTCTGGATTCCACTGTCATTTGCATTGGTGAGAGGCTCGTTTCTGACTGTGACCAGTGCAGGGTGACCTCTTTCTCTCCTTTTGAGCAAACACTCCAAACCAGTCTGCTACTGCTTTTATTTCTGATATTTTGGGGCTGCTACTTCTGCACCAAACTGTGCGGGAGCTTGTTTGGGTTCTCTGATCTTAACCTGATTTATTCTTCAATCCTGAAAGGTTCAATTAAGCAACTCACTCAGACTTCTGTTTTATCCACATTGTCTTGGGAGCCAGTCCACCTGGCTGGGAACTGTCACGTTCTGTTTTGCACTGTACAAAACGGAGGATTGAAGAGTTTGAACCTTCTTTTGTCATGAGAGCTCTGCTACCTGTGGTTCTTGCCATGCCACTCAGTGATTTTGCACTTTGATTTAAGAACAATGACCCCAGAATGACGCTGTTTTAATGAATCCTTACTTGATTTCCATGTTTAGATTCACTAATCATATGCTTTCTGTTGATTGCCAACTAATACGGTGGTGACTTTTTCCTTGATTTTTGAATTGGTTCTAACTTTCACTTTTGCTCTGTCCTTTCCTCCTTTAAATAGTTTTTCTTACCTCTTGCTGCAAGAATGTCTCAGGAGTCTTACTTTGAATCTAAAACAGAGGAGTCAAACAGTGCAGAGATGTCTTGTCAGATCACAGCAACAAGTAACGGGGAGGTAGCTGGCATGAACCAAAGTCTGAAGGCCTTGATGATGACGGGCTTTGGGGATATCTTCTCTCTGAACCAAGCAGGATCTGTCCTGCATTCTGGAATGCAGATAAACATGCAAGCCAAAAAGAATTCTTCTAAAACCACCTCTATGAGAAAAGGGAAGAAAATCAACATGGCTTTGGGTTTCAGTGAATTCGACTGGTCAGATGACGATGATGATGATGATTTTGACGACACAGATGATAGCGGTGAATGAAATAAGTTATAGAATTAACCCTGAAATTGTTTTAGCAAAGCAAACCAATAAAGTTTTAGAACAAGAATCCTGTCAGTTTGGTCTGTTTAAATCCTGTAAAAGAACAACAAAAAAACAACAAAAAAAGTGAGATATTTTCCAGGCTGAGCATGTTTCTGTGTAGAAAGACATGTTGTTTTTGTTTAGATTGTGCTGACTTATTTCTGCTTTGATGAAATTTGGAACTAAACTTTCCAAACTAATGGAGATTATTATTATTAAGAACCATGATTATATCTATAATTCTTGATGCCTGATTACAGAAACTATGGCTTGATAAACTTAAGATCTAAAAAAAATGGGAGAAACTTCAATGCATTTAATGCCATTTATGTACTTCAAATTTTTCTTTTGTGTTTTTTGTCATTTCCCTTACCCCCTCAGTTGTCAATTATATGCATATACTTGTACTTCCAGATTTACTATTCTCTACAATCCATTCTTTCTTACTGTTGCAGTGAAGGGGTTTGCTGTGTTTCTAATTTAAGGCCTTTTTCAAGGCAGTATTGTGGGAAGTCACTAATAGGTTTCCAGGAAGAGAGAAGCATGGGGAGAAGAGAGGGGTTAGTTAAATACACAGTTTAAAAACTGAATAGCAGCAGAATCCAGATAATCCCTATTAGTAGATGATTTGTATAAATGTTTTTTTTCCCCTCACGTGTATGTGCATGTGTATATAATTCACTCTAGCAAAGCAAACTGCAATCAGACCTCTGCATCTATTATCAGATATTGTGATCTAGAAGCTAATTTTCAGTTATGTTGATGTAAATCCAGGAAGCCTCATTAACTTTGATGGACTTATTCTTATACCTGAGAGCAAAAATCAGTGTTCGTAAATTTTGATTCTGTTGCATCTCCTACCCTTAGGTAAGGACTAAAGGTACCCTTAGGTAAGGACAAAGAGAAGCCACTATGACATTTCAGGTTGGGCCTTACTACTGTGGCTTATGTGAAATTCTCTGTGATGGCAGTAATGTGAGGAATATTTACTAGTCTCTGCATACCTGTTTTTTGCAGCTAAATCACTTTTAAAGTATTGCCACTGCTGTTATGGCTTACTGTAAAACTCAGTGTGTAACAATCTGCTGCAATAATTGCCTGCCAGGCACTTAGGTTGAGAGCAGTGAGGACGTTTCTCCTGATGACCCCTTTAGTGGTGATGCAGAAGGAGGGAGGGAAGCCAGTGCGAACACTGATGCAGGTTAGAAAGGAAGATGTAAAATATTTGCCCAAGGAAGAAGGGCAGCATTTCAAAAGAAAAATGTTACTGTGCAGTTCAGTAGTAGTGGGAATAGGCCATCAAAATTCTATTCTCAATTACTGGAGGGGTTTCTTTTATGAAAACTTCTGGTTTTGAGTGGCCTCTTTAATTATAGGCTTGCCGGTTACACAGCTCTAACCTACATATTATGGTGAGTGTTTTGTAGATAGCTTAGAGAAAAATGGATACATTAGATAACAGCAGGCCTCAAATCATTACATGCTCACTCAACAGAAGAGAAGGTTCTTTGAAGGAGTTTTTCTAGAGTGGACACCTCTTTGGGTCATCAGAGAGAATTGTTTTATCCTTAAGCATCAGCACTGGTCCGGTAACCTGCAAGGCAGCAAGTGCTGTGCTTCAAACTTCAAGCTCAGTTTGCACAGAATTAGACCCTCCACGATGCTTAACTTCTGTAGGATGTAATTTAATATTCTTCCAAACAGTTACAAATCCGTTGACTTGCAGTTAGCCCTCTTGTATCCAGAATGTTTTTTCATAACAAAATTGTACTTTAAATGATGCAATAAATTTATGGAGTATCCCAGGGAGAAACTTACTCCTTCAGCACAGGTAGGGGTGACTTCTTAGGTCCATCAAAGCAACCTGATTTTAGGGAGAAAAAGGGACATGAAAGGGCAAAGTATGAAATGGAAAGAAGAGCAAAAAGGCTGTTTCCAGTGCAGATTTGTACTATTTTTGTAAGTCTATGTCTGCTAACACCCACAGCAATGTTACTATTTTTGTAACTGCCACTTTGCACTCAGCAAAATTTGATGGATTTGTGTAGTGTAATATGTGCACTTTAGATCTTAAGATGTGTGTCATTGTGCATAAATTACTGTACCACATAAGCAGTGTAGGGTTGTACAACTGAAAATGAAATTTGGTTCAGTACAATTTAGGATTCAAAAAAGCACAAAAAATCTGTCCCTGGCAGATTTTGCACTTTTTTGGTGTTTGACAGTGTCAGAGCACTTCATGCACATTTCTATTGTATGGCTTTTAACTGAATTTGTAAATCCACTCTTTAATCTTTACAGAAATAAAAATAATTCTTAAGTAGTATGACACAGGGTTTCATAGTTGCAAAACCACAAGGTTTAAGTCTGTCTTCAGAGTTTTGTGCTTACCCAGGTGTGTAATTTATGTCAACAAAATATCATCAGAATTTGGTAGTGTGCTTATAGAAATTTCTACTCTGTGCTTAGTTTCAGTATTTTTTAATAAAACAAAGATGGATTTTTCCCTCTTTGCCTTTCTTTCCCCATGTTATTTGTCAAAACAAATTAAGCTATATCAAGGGGAAAAATAAACCCTTATAAAACTTCCCCATGCTTTCAAGATAGCAAAGGTAGTCTCTGAATTGTAGATAAGATGATAACATAAGATGACAAACTCTTCTGATGCAGTTCCCCTAACATAGGGTTATACTTAGGATATTGGCTGTGCTCACTAAAAAAGTAGTGGTATTGATTGCACTTTTACTTTCCTGTGATGACTTTCATGCCAGATGTCTTCAGTTTACAAACCAAAAGTCATATGTGAGAATCAAGCTGTGTTGTTTCTGTCTCTGAAATGCTTTTCACTAGATAAAGGCTTTGAAAGTGGCTCTGGTGGGCAGGTATGGTGGTTGGAGGAGCTCAGAATATTTCATCTTCCACACTGATTTTTATCTGCATGTATTCCAGTCCACCTTCTACCTGTATCATCACCAGGTTGTATGAGTCTTCTCATTTTTACCCGGCTGCTGTAATGCCAGCATTGACTTAGGTGGGTAAATGGCCTGAGAGAAGAATGGGAAGAATTGACTTTTGCTTAAAGATGTGGGGTCAGCTGGGACCAAGACAGGATGCCCAACTCCTTTTCTTTTCCTTCAGCAGTGGAGAAAAAATGGAAAGGGGACTTAATGGAGGAAAACTTTTGATCTAGCAATTTTTGTGATAATGACACCATTAATTCCTCAGAGTAGCAAGTGTCTTAAGATACAGTGTTTAGGTGTGCTGCATCCCCAGCCAGGTGTGTGCTGCCTGACATGGAGCTTGTCCCCTCTAGATGGAAAGGGCTTCCTGGGGGTGACATCTGGCGCAGCCTCTTGTCGTACAGTCATGTTCTTGACTTGTCATTTGTTTATCGTTCCAGAGGTTTTCTTAGATGTTGATTCCCTTTCCTTCTGGGTTTTAGAGTGTCTATTCTGATTTAAATATCTGATACAATAATGATTGGTGTTGCTCTCAGCAGTAGCAATAAATCCATGGTGTCCATATAGCTGTTAAGTATGCAGCAGTGTTTCTGTGTGTCTTTAGTGCTGTAGTTCCTTTTCTGTAATCAGGCAGCTTTTACAGGTTTTTAAGAAGACCTCTAACTTGACAGAGGTTTTAACTACAGTCCTAGGTAGAACGTTCAGGTAGAAAAAGTAAGTTCATATAGTAATTTTCACAGCCCTTAAAATGCACTGGTAGGAATCTGGAGGAGGGACCTTTCCCCTTTCCTCCAGACTTCGACTTAGTGTACACTGTAAAATCTGCACAGAGATTTCTGATGTGTGAAGATTTAATTTTAAAACTGTAGAACAAACAACTTTCTTTAAACATTTTATATGGTGTGCTAAATATTCATATGCCTTTTAAAGTCAGATATAGTCCACTGCATTTCTTGCTTTTGCACTACTGAAGAAGTTTTGTACTGAATAGTAGGAGTCAATGCTACTTACACTTCGAGTTTGAACTGATGGAATTTGAATAGAAAATATTTTCACAGTGTTAGAAAATTTCATTTTCCCTTCTGAAAAAGCAAAGCTGAGCGCAGCGCCTATGCCAAGACTCTTGTGCTGTAAACTAAATATATCATTTGTGTGGAACATGCAATGTTACACTTTTGTGTGGTAAAACCTTGCAGTGTCAGTTATTCTCTTTATTGCACTTGACATACCATCTCTTGTTTTATTCACACTGTGGATTTGATTTTCCAGTGTAAAACCAAAGCAAACAAACAAAAAGAAATCATGCAATGTATTAAATTTCCTCAATTGGTGTCATAAACTTTCTTTTGATGTGAACTTTTCCTTTGCTGCTCTTTGTTCCAATCTTCTATTTTGCAATAAACATTTTGACAGTAAATTTTATGCATCTGTGTCACTGTGTAAAATGCTGGTGTTTCAAAACATTCCTTATTGTCTACTGGTTTAAGTCACGTTTTTGTATTACTCACTGTGTGACATTTCCCCTTTATTCTATTTAAAAAAAAAAATTGAAATAATACAGAACATATTCTGCCACTGATTATGTTTAAACATGGGGAAAGCTGAAAAAATCCACTGTACAACTAAAAATGTAATATTGGACTTCTGCATTAAATAATTTGGTTGTACAAGTTATCGTACCAGGCTCCTCCTGCAGCACCAGCTGGTTTGACTATAAGTACCTACAAAAGACACAACCCACTGAGGGTGTTCATGATTGCCACTTGCCCTTCCTTGTGCTTAGGTGTTTCCCCCAGCATTACTTTTGCCCCGCAGCATCCTGCCCAGGCTGCGAGTTGCTGTCAGCATAGGGAATGCCTGACAGCAGTTAGGTTGCAAGTGTGGTGTAGTAGTCAGGAAGGTCTCATTTTTGTCTGGCAGGTACATCTTGCCATCTGCCAGTTCACCCTGATGCCTTTGGGGAAACAGTGGGCAAAGGGGTGGGTTTGAGGATCCGCTAGATCCTCTGTGCAGAGGTGACTTCAACTGGTCTCATAAATTGTTTGTGCCCAGCAAGATTTGAGTGAGGCATTGGTGGAGGAAGAGGAAGACGATCTGAAAAGTCCTCAAAGTGGGGTGGGCAGCAAAAAGTCGATAGATATGGAGGCAGAAGTCAAGGGCAATCACGAAGTCCTTCAGTGGGGGTTTCACATGGATGCTGTGAAGGGTATTTTACAGTGATGGCTGAAAGTTGTGAGCAGATTACACTAGACCCTGGTGTCGTGCCTGGAGAGCCAGGGAAGTGCTAAGGAAGTGCCAGGAAGGCACCTAAGGAGCAACTCTGTCCTGGGCCTCAGTATTCAGCTGGAGGTGGGCAGGGGTGAGTGCCTGCCGAGGGGCCGTGCTTGGCTTGTGGGTGGAGGCTGGGGAACCCAGGGGTGGCAGAGCTCTCTGGAGGAGGGAACAAAGCCATGGGGGCTGGTGGTAACAGAGCTGAGTCTCTTATAAATCACTGGTATCTACATCAAAGAGATTGCAACTACATCATGGTTTTGAGCTTTTGGAAGACACTGACAAATACAGATATACAACAATTAATGTTAACCCTTTAAGCTGGAGATAAAAATGCTAAGAAGCTGAAGCTTGGGATACTATGTGCTTGGATGAGTAAAATGGCAGTCACTATTACAGTGACATCATCTCCTCTGCCAGTTTTCAAATCATCTCAGAATTTTGTTTAATGCAGCTGTTCCCCTGTGTATCCTCCATGGTTTACTAGTGCTTCGAGAGCTAACACCATTTTGCGTCCAGTGTTGGAGGAGTCTGGGAATTGCTGCACTCCCCCAGCCTTAGGGGAGCAGTTACAAAGTGTTGGCAGAAACCAAGAGACACTTGGCTATACATGGACAGGAAGACTAGCTATAGAGGCCAGACTCCACATTCTGCTTTCATTGCTGTCCAGTGACAGTTTTCCTTCCTTCTGTAGAAAATATCCATCATCTGGGAGGGAGTCATAATCACAGCATTATTTTCATTGCAGAAATCAAAAAAGCAAAAGCCTTCCCCAGTGTCAGAGCCAAGAGGAGAGGCAGCTAGAGAGTCCCTTGCCATCGGACAGTTTACTTTTGCTTCCTAAGTTGTTTCTGTTGGGGATCTGCTCTTAATTTTATCTGCATAGAGTGATGGGATCGATTTAACACCGACAACATGCTGTTGGAGCCAGCCCTTGATCAGTGTGAATCTAGCGGTTTAGTATGTCCATATGAGTTGCTGCCTAAGTCCTGTACTTTGCAGGGAAAAAAAAACCAGAATAAAATCAGCCACCAGAGTAAAATTTGGGTGGAGGGGATAAAATTGGTCAGATGGTTTTCTTTTCAATTCATATCTCTCACACAGTTGCTGCCCTCCTTTGATATTTGTGCATGGACTGAAGATGATGTGGTGAGTATTTTGTGTTAATGTGGCCAGCATCGTGCTGCTGGAGCTCTCTTAGCATATTACAGTGGATATGGAGGGAGGGAAGGCCGGATCAGAACATCCAGGTGAGATTTTACTGTTTGTTTGGTAAAACTTGTGTCCTAGAAAGGGTTTAAAATGACTGTAAGTAAATTAAGGACTTGAGTTACTGTCATAAAACAGCCACATTCTCCAAAGTCCAGAAAATAATGGGAGCTGGGAGCTGTCAGCAGCCAGGAGGGCATTCCTGAGTCACCATTTAAGGGATGTGGAAGTGCCCAAAGACCTGACCCTGGACAGGACAGAACAGTTTCGAAGGTTTTATCCCACTGTGTGCCACCTGGACTGAAATTAACTGAAAAAAAGTGAAGGGGGTTTTAAGACATGTGGAATTTCTCTTTCATATAAAATAATGGCATTGAGTCTTTTTTACCTTTTTATTTGATTAAAAGGCTAAACAAGACACATTATTGATTTATCTCTGGCATAGTAATGTGTCATAATGATTTTAATGTCCTATCTAGCACTCTCTTTGTGTGTTGTGCGTCATGGGGTTGTTTAGCTGATGTTTACTGAAAGAATGCCTGGAAAGCCAGTGCAAAAGCTGTAATAGCCCTGGCTCCTTCACTTCAGCCCTTTTAGCACATGACATCACTCAGCTGCTGCTTTGCTCATTTCTATTCTTCATGACAATAAACTGAGGAAGATGGCTGCAAAATGGAAGGCAGTTTTGAAAAGCTGAATAGAAGTCATCACTTGCACTGGTGAATCTTGAGTCCTTTAACCCAAAGTGAGAAATATTTTTAAATTTTGTTTTAAAAAAGAACGTACTTGTGGACTCCAAATAACTGTGGTACAAAATTTTGGTAATGTGAACTTCAAGATTGATTCCTCTTTCTTTGCAGTTTTTCTGGATGCAACAACTTACTAGAAAAGGTAAAAGCTATTCATATGTACTTTCATATTCACATATATGAACATATATACATTTGTTCATTTTTTCCCCCTCCAATAAAGTGCCCTATGGATTTCTGAATAACCTCTTCTATCTTAAGGCAATGCTTCTGGTGAAATGAGTGTCTATGCTAGCTTGTTTAAGGAACATCATATCACTGGGAAACAATTACTTCTTCTAGAAGAAGAGGATTTAAAGGACATGGGAATTGTTTCCAGAGGACACATCATCCATTTAAAGGTATCATCATCATATATTGAGTGTTGCAGTAGGTTATAGTGTGAATATTAAGAAGTAGTCTATGAGTTTTCAGTAGTATTAACGAAAAAAGTGACAAAGCTACATAGAGAACATATTTGGTATCTAAAATAAACAGTTACAGGTTCATATCAGTGTAGAACCCAAAGCAACCTGAGAATCTTATGAGGCATGAAAATGTGCTGTGGTCTTTATACTTCTCTGTCGTTCTTGGTTTTCTTGTGAGCTAGGCTGGCAGTTCTGCTACAGATTCACCTAGGAGGGCCCAGCAGAAAACTTGGGTATATTCAGAGATAGTTCTCTGTAGCTGAGGGAGAAGCAGATACAAAACCAGCTATTTGAACTGAAATCTCTGAACTTCTTACTTTCATATCTCGTTTATAGTGTAAAGCATACTTGGACTAACAAAACTCCGTTGGACAACTTTAAAGCTGATTGACAGCCAGGTTTCTTTCAGAAGCTCTTTCAGAGCTTCTTAAAGCTCTGTTTCACAGTGTTTTAAATATCTAATGTTTGTAATGAATTAAGAAAATCATGGTCTGGAAAATGTGGTCAGACAGCAGTAATGATATTAATACTGTAGCCACAGGAGAGAGTTCAGTTTTCTGGCAGCTTTGGAAAAGGGTTTCTCTAAGAGCAGCGTCTACAATTCTCTTGGGTCTCAGTCATTTTAGATCACAATTTGCTAGTAAAGAGATACTTGTATCCTAATTGCCAGTCCTGCAAATTTAGCTTCATAAGTCGCACAGATTTATTCCCCTTTTGCTCATCAGCCATTTTTTCCGTGCCCACGCACCATTACTGATATATTTAATTTATGTTTCCTACAGGGAAAATTATTGAAACTTAATAAAGTCAATAATGCCCAAAATGAATGATTTCAGCTTCCTGGGTTGATTGAGCATAAATAAAAACAACGAAAACAACCCCCCAAACATCTCTTTCTCTGATTAAGCAGATCTGATTCTGAATGCAAAATGGGACCAATCTACCATGACAGTTTCCAGAACAGGGCTGTATTTTAAACTCTTCTCACATGCCCTGATGTATCCACAGTGGAAAACACAGTGCACTTGGAGTTTCACTGGTTTTCATGTTGGTATTTGCAGTATGAGATACTAAATAACTCCCATCTGGTTTTTTTGATTTTTTTTTTTCCTAGACTGCTATCGAGAAGTTAACCCATGACTACCTAAATCTGTTTCATTTTCCACCATTAATTAAGGCAAGTTGCATAGTTTATATAAGAAGTACTTCTCATGTTGGTATGAATATTTTATTGTTCTCATGTCTCAACTTTCTCCTATTCAGGGGAGGGCAAAGCAGCAGTTCCTACAGGGAGTTGTAACAAATGCAAAGGCTCAACAGCAGTGATGGGTCAGAACAAGTAATAAGATAATAAAAGTTGTTTTCAATGAGGCTCTAAGATTTTATCATGGAACCAGCGGAATGAAATTAAAAGGCTACTGGTTGCAATTCCTTTGCTGTCATTAATCAGAAATTACTTTTAAGAGCCATTCCTCCAAACTGGTGCCATTGACTGCTCACCACTGAAGAACACCAGACCCCTGGCCCAGACTGAGCCCATCATTCCTCAGTTTGTTAATGTTATAGAAAAGAAGGATGATTTATAATGTCTAGTCACCCTTATGTTAACCTCTTGGTTTTCTGATATCGGTAACAAGAGCCATGCAAAAGGGAGAGAGTGTTTGAGAACCTTGGGGTTGCTAAAACTAATATTTGCCTGATTTAGTTCAGTGAACTAATCAAGCAA